TAATTTATTAGCTTTACTTTAAATATACCTGTAAATAATCTATGCCAGTATATTTAGGTCTAGGCATTTAAGTGTATATATAATTAGGGTTAAATATTAAATTATAATATTATAGCGCTGCCTTATCTATCTTTTTTAAATTATTATATTCTTTATATTATATAGAATAATATTAAGTCCCTTATAATGCCTTCTTAAAAGGGTTAGAGGTAAAAGTATGCCAGCTCCTGCAAATCCCATGCTGCCATTGTATGCGACGTTCTCAAGGCCTCCCGAGAGGTCCCCGGAGCAGAAGCGCTCTACAACATCGTGGGACACGTGACAATCGTGTCCTCGTCAGTGTTGTTGCACACATATCTATTCGGAGAGTCTCATGAGCTTGAGGAGTCAAGACACCGGCTGAGCTCAAACCTCGAATCCTTGGTACAACTGAGAAATTACTGGCCCAGCGTGGAGATGATGGTAAGTTCATTTCCCGTGTTCCTCCACGATTTCTCACCAGATGTAGATCAAACGACTGGTTGTCTTTCAGAATAATTGCATTCAATCAATGAATGCAGAGTCTTACCGATTCGACAGGTGGATGGTCAAGTTTCTCATTGCTCACGCACTTGCTCTTGAAGACAAGGTGGATGATAGCTGGTCAGCTGCCAGCGTGGATGCAACAAATGGAGATGCCCATCTAGAACGAGGTCGTATCACTCAAGCCATGATTATGGATATACAAAACTACGATACAGAGACATGATGGGTTACTAGACAGGCTTGTTTTTCTGGATGAACATCGTGCCATCCGTCAGGCAATGAGCAAATCCTTTATGGTGACGCGACGCGACGCGACGCGATACTGTTGTCAATGGGGTGAACAAATCAGGGTGTCAGATTAGTAAGAGAATGCCGTGTAAACAGCCGAAGTAGACAGGGAACTGAAAAAGACGATGGCCAATCAGAGCAAACCAAAGCCGTAGCATTTGCTTGTCCAATCAAATTACGTCAAAGCCGGAGCTAGCTGACACCCTCATCACTTAGCCCGAGATCCCTGCTTTGCCAAACGCGATCCGACACTCCGAGTTGGGGCAGCCAATGTCGCATGAACAACGTAAAAACAGTACATGACGGAACAAGGAGAAATCTTGCAGCTGGAACCGAGGTCAATCACTGGTTCTTATTGCAGTATAGGGCAAGTTCTGAGCAATCAATTGTGGAATGATCGTCGGTGTTATGTGTGTTAAAACCTAAACATAAATGCTTACCCTGTAGAAAGAAATTTATTTTTAGGTTAACTGCATTCATGAGATTCGATATGCATTACAAATAGCACAAAAACTAAATAAAAACATTGAATTGTAAACAAACTTCAAGATATACCTAAAGTTCTAAATAGATCTAATCATGACAAGGTATAACCGTGAATCAAGAGCAACGACATGCTAAGACAGCTGATGCCTGTCTACACCATTGAAACTTGCTTTCCATAGATCATCTCAAACATCCTTGACACTATCCTTCAATCCATTCTCAATGGCATAAGCCTCTTCAGCCCGACGCTCAGCAAGAGTGACATACGCGCGGAATTGGCGTGTTGGCACCTTGTTCATGAAAAGCTCGTCCAGCTCCTCGTAACTTCGCATCCGAGTCTCGGGCACAAAGAAGAATGCCAGAACAGCAAAGATAACCATGAAAGCACCATATACAAAGCCAATCTTTGCCTTGAGATTGCCATAACCAGGGTTGAACATGTAGGGTGCGACAAATGACCACATGGTGTTGACGGCGGAAGAGACAGAGATGGAAATGGCAAGGGTCTTGGTTCGCAGGACAGACGTGGGGATCTCTCCTGCAAGGGTGTACACGGTCGATCCAACCCCGACATTGTAGAAGAAGTTATACATGGTGTAGAAACCAACAGAGGCCGTGACAGCAGCGGTGGTGTTGACTGAACCAGAAATTCCCATACAAATGAGAAGCAGAGAGAGGCCAATGCATCCTGCGAGGTACATGGGTCGACGGCCATAAAAGTCGCCAACAAGGAAAGCGATAGTGGCACCGGACATGGAGAGAATTTGAGCGCCAATCTGGATCTCGAAGGACTTCTTGTCGCTGATTCCAAGGTACTGGTACATGAGAGCACCATAATTGGAGACAAACCCAAGACCGGACATGGGTTCAGAAAGGAACACCATAATGGCGATGAGAGATCGTCGAAGGTTGGTGCCCTTGAAGCAATCAAGGTATGAGCCAAGATTTTTCGAGTCAGCTTCTTCGAGGGTCAACTTGATACGTTCAAGATGGCCAGAGGCGTCCTCAGGGTCCGAGTACATGCGCTCAAGGGCCATGCGCGCCTTTTCCATCTTGCCCTTGCGGACCAGATAGACAGGACTCTCAGGCATGAAGAGCTGCCCGATCAGTGCGACACCAGCAAAACCCCATTGGGCAACGATGAGGGACTGCCAGGACCAGTTGGATTCCCACTGGGAGCTGAAGTTGGAGAGGATGGCCGAGATGAAGGGACCAATGCATTGAGCAAGGTTACAGAATCCGATGGTGGTAGATCGAATGGCCAGTGGCGAGACATCAGCTACGTATGCCGTGCAAAGGTTCTGGAAAGCGCCAATAGCGACAAAGTTGACCATCTTGCCAGCGAAGAACATTTCGATCGATGTAGACGCGAACTCAACGCCAACAGATCCAATGTTGATGGCAGCTGCAATCAGAATGACCGGTTTGAAGCCGATCAGATCAGCAAAGTATGATGAGGCCCAGGCTCCAAAGATGGCAGCACCGTTGGAGCCTCCGCTAAGCGCAGATTGCCAGCTCGTCTCGATAAAGTATGAACCGTCGTCGAGTTGTTTTCCGAATCGCTCTTTGAACACGGGAATACTGATTACAGAACCGGAAGACTGGTTCTCGAAGCCGCGGACGATCAGAGTCCAGAGCATGACTCCGATCCACAGCAGAAGCCATGGGTCTCGTCGGAGGGTCTGGAGGTAGGTTCGGCTGTGCTCTTGGTGCTGAATGGCGTGGCCGCGTGTATGGTCTGGAGAGACGTGAAGGGTCTTGGAGTCTGATCGCTCAACGTGAGCGGTTGATTTAGGCTTCTCCATTGGGAGGCAGGATGATGACTAGAGACAAAAAAAATGGTATGAGGGCCAAGAGACAGACAGTGGATCTTGCGGAGAGTGACTGAGAATGGATATCAGCGACAGAAGACGATGCATCTTATATAACGAAGAGAGCGTTGTCAATAGCATCGCGGTACAAAGATCCCCGGATGGAAAAGCTTCTCCAACCTGCTGGTACACCAAAGTGCGGGGCCCCAGATGGGGAGAAAAAGTGAAGGGTGGACTGAGACAAGGGTCTAGACCAGAAAGAGGAGGCAATCGTAATCCAATGGCGATTCGTCAAACCCGGCCTCACTACGCTAGCGCCGGCTTTGAGCGAGTTTCATTGGTGACGCGGAAATGGTTCGGTAGACCAAGCAGGAATTTGACTCGTGATCCAGGTCCTGATTCGGTTGCTGATCCGCCGAATTGAATGCATGAATATCGGGAAGGATCATCGGATCGTGCGATGAACCTGGCTGTCCATGGGCAACGTTGACTAGAGTAATGAGGCCTTGAACGAATTCGGTATACGAGGGGTTTCTCGCGAGATAATACACCGAACAAGACACTACTTACATCGCAGACCATTCAATGACACGGCGTTGCCGACATGAAGACGTACACCATGCATGGTTCTGTGAAGGAACGTGGTAGACTTGTAATCTTACATGGCGAATGGCGAATGCTGGAGTTGAAGTCGGCCCAGTATCAGATTGATCTAGCTAAGTCTCTATACCATTCGAAGCTTGTGCCTTCAGCTCTTCTTCTCTCCGAAAATCCTCAACGATCTTAGCCAAGATAAACTTGATCTCCTTCACTGGCCACTCTCCTTGCTTCTTGTAATCTACTGTGAATGACCACTTTCCCGGCCCAACAACTTCAGTTTTCTGAGCACTATTCTCACTCGGCAGCACAACTTCCATGGTCGTGCTTGGTGGCACCTCTATATCTACTCGAAGAACTTGCTTCTCGGTATCATCGCCCTCAATCCTCCATGAGCTTGATACCTTGCCGTACGGCGTGAGATGTGACGCAGACGCCCAAGTAAAATCGCCCCCCACAACAGGTCGAACCCTCGACCTCTTCCATCCTGCTTCAAGCCGCTGCAGGCCGGCAAGTCGTTCAACCATGAACTTGACGATCGCCCCGTAAGCGTAGTGATTGAAGCTGGTCATCTCGCCAGGGTTGATTGATCCATCTGGCAGCATACTGTCCCAGCGTTCCCAAGTCGTAGTCGCCCCCATCGAGATAGCATACAGCCACGAGGGGCATTTCTCATTGAGAAGCATGGAATAAGCGACGTTGCTGTGACCGGTTAAGGTAAGGGCTTCGCAGACAAAGGGTGTACCAGCAAAGCCAGTACCAATGCGGAAAGCATTTCTTCGAACAATCTCTGCAAGTCGCGACCCAGCTCGTGATAGCTGGTCCTTGTTAAGAAGCTTGAAGCAGATGGCCAATGAGTACGCAGTCTGTGTGTCTGATACGAGGCGACCGCTCGGGGAGACGTATTCTTGGGTGAACTCCGCCCGGGCATTGTCGGCCCACGATTTGTAGAATAAATGATCTTTAGTCTTGCCAAGAATACCACAGACGCGTGCCATGATGTCAAGAGAGTTGATCAAAAATGCGTTGGCTACCAGTGGAGGATCAGTTGTAGCTTTGGCAGCATCTTCTGGGGGAGCGCTTGGGTCAAGCCAGTCCTAGCAAGGTCAGCAAAAGTGACTTTAAAAATTCGTCAAGAAAGACTTACAGAGAGTTGATCAGCGTTGAAATCCCAAAGATGAGTGCAACGATCCTTGTTCTTGGGGATGACCTTGAACCACGTTTCCATGGACTCGAACTGATCAGCCAAGATAGCAGGATCAGCCGTTTCTTCATACAGTGCCCAAGGAGCCAAGACGACCACATCATGCCAGATGGCACAAGGCCAAACAGGGCCCCAGATCCTGCATTTGTCAAGAATGTTTGGAGATACCATTGGAGGCACTCCCCCCTGTCGTTGCTGGTCAAACCATACGCCTTTGAGCCAGTCTCGAAGAATCGGGTAACAGCCGTAGATGTAGGTGGCTGTTGGTGCAAACAAGGCCAGGTCGCCAGTCCAGCCAAGTCGCTCATCGCGCTGCGGGCAGTCTGTGGGGATAGAGAGGAAGTTGTCTCGCATGCTCCAGCGGACGTTACTGAATAATTGGTTCAGCTTGTCATTAGAGCATGTAAAGGTTCCCTGTTCTTCCATATCGGTATGACAGACAATAGCCTCGAGGGCAGCGACTACATCTTGGTCTTCTGAAGGCCAGTTGTCAATTTGGACGTAACGGAAGCCATGGTATGTGAATCGAGGCTCGTATACCTCGGGTTCAGCATCTCCTCGGAGCGTGTAGACATCGGTGGCGTCACAGACGCGTAGAGGTCTAACACCTAGTTCTCCATTTTCGAGGACCTCGGCATGCTTAAGCGTGACTTCATGACCCCGTTGTCCTCGAACAGCTTTGATACGAACGTAACCTACCAGGTTCTGACTGAAATCGAGAATGGTCTTGCCAGTTGGTGTTGTGATCTTGGAAACTGGCTTCAATGTCTCAATTCGTCTGACAGGTTCACGATAACCGGCTGTCAAGTTAATCTTGTCGGATATAAATGGCAACGC